ACTAAAAAGGGACAAAAAAGTATAAAATATATTGCAACGTTTTTTAAAAAAAATGTGTGGTTCCTGTTTTTCTATAATAGGGTTTATATATTTGTTTATTGAACCATTCTGAGAAATCAGTATTCAACTCCAACAACGTTTTTTTATCTTTCAAGTTTTATTCCTTTTAATATTTAAATTTTTTAAATGTTTAAAAAATTGGAATAGGTATTTCGGACCGTGGGTAGGCCAGCACTAATTTGGATTACTTACTAAAATAGAAATCAGTATTATAACATTATTGAAAATCTATAATAAATTGGAAACACAACATAATACAATAATAATAAGCCATTGCCTTTTAAAAAAAAAAAAAAAAGATTTTAGTCTCTGTTTATCTATTACATAATTTTTTAAAAAAAAAGTCATTATTTTAAAAACTTTTTAAAATTAAAATTAAAAACATGAATACAAATAATTAAAGGAAATGAAAACATATTTTCCAATAACCAAGTACATTATTTTTTTACTATATATGCATCGATATTTGGCTGTATTGTAATATAATGACTCGTATCTCAGAAAACGATTTTTATTAATTTGTGCGTATTGTTCAGTAAAATTACGTAAGTATTATAGTAGGTACAATACACGGTGAAATATTTCCTTTCACCAATAGGTAATATTACATTAAAATGCACAATTAGACGGGTTAACGCATAAAAAGTAAACGACTAAAAGATGTTTAAGAAAACGTTTTCAGGAATTACGTTCTTATCAAAAACGGACATCCGGCTGTCATTCAAGGCGACTCGTATATAATACTTAGATACAGTCACGATAGAAATCTACTCCCCCTATAGAATATTATTACGGTACATACCTACCTAAATAGGTATGGTTGATTTCTGATTTATACGGTATAGAATAAAACAAAAATATTTGTATTAAATTAGTTATACTTTTCATTCGGTCTTTTTGAATGCCGAACAATATATAGTTTGAAGATCATAAATAATTTTTAAAAAAAATCAAAAAAGTCCTAATCTATTCTCCCTTTCTCTCTCTCTAAAAATGTATATAGACAACTTTCTCGCATTGTTGCCAAGTTTCATTTACTACGTTGCGAATTCATTAGAACCTTCGCCTTTTTTTTTTTTTAATTTGAATGAAATAATTTTGTTGAGTGTCTTCCAATTTAATAAAATAATTAAAAAATAAATAAATACAATAACAAAATATTATTATTCATAATAACGCAATACAAGTTACAAAAATATTAAAATACTACGTTAATATTAATAATTAATTGTATAGGTACCTACGATCAAATAACGACGACACTGTATTATAATTAATTATTTTAAATCTGTTTAGAAAACAATGATGTGAAATTTGTGAAACCTTTAAAGTATATAGGTATTGTAAATTTAAATAATTTATTATGTTGGCAACGATTAATCGAAAACGATTCAATATAATATGCGTTTATATTAATAATTTTGCATCGATACCTTTATGAAAATACACTATAATATATTTTTGTACTATGGAAATAATTATACAAGTCATCTTTTAAACCTCGAAAATTGACTGTATTAATTAATAATCCCCTATTTATGATTTGCATAGCAGTGAAGTATGAAGTATAAGAAAATGGATATTGTTCATACCTAAAATGTGTACTCGTATTATATTACTTGTAACTACATTTATGTAGGAAATGTATACTCTTTACTTAGGATCTATATTAATTATATTGGACACAAATTATATTCTAATGTTTTAACCAACATCATAATCAATAAAATATCAACATGCGCAAAATTTTTACTGTAATATTTAAATAAGTTTTAAAAAATATCACTGGTACTTTTCACCAGTGTAACACATATTTGTTTTCTATGAATATGGTTACTTATATGTGAGGTAGAATTATATTATATTAGAATATAGGTAATATATTATATTATATTCTGTTTATATTATTTAAGTTAAATTTATTTTAGAACTACCTATATAATAAAATGATAAAGGTCAGGGTCTATTACCTTGAATGCAATGCTCAAGTGGACCTTCTTTAAATATTATTATTATTATTATGTCCAACATGAGTAAAAATACATATATAAGGTCACAAGGCCAAAAATGTCCGCTATGCATTTCATCAAAATAATATAAAATATCGTGCAAATCTACTATTAGCAACTGGGAACAATACAATTCAGTTACTCGAGACGTTAATAAAAACCACTCTCATAACTAACTTGAGCTATGTGCTACTTTCACTCATGTACCATTATCACACAAGACTATAATAATACTGCGTAGGTATAATATATAATATTTTGTTATTAAAAATAATATATGTCCGTGAATCTCCTCTACCGTATTGTATGACGCATAGGTACTCTCGTGTATTATAAAGCGCTTGTCGAATAAAATATAGTTATGAGTATAGATCTGTAAATTTAACGCACTAAAAACCTTAAAAAAGCATTTAAAATCAAACCGGTTCATAAAGCAATTAAAACACCAAAATAGCTGTTCAAAATAACTGTATTTACTAATAAAATAAATAGATTTGAAATTTCCAAAAAAAAAAGCGCTGAAATACAATAAAATATTTTTGAAAAATATTATAATAAATTAAAAAATGAATACACGACATAAATGGAAAAAAAAACTTAATATAAATAGAAAAATTCAAAAATTTCATAAAAAAACAAAATAAACCGAGTTCATTGTTACATAGTTAGAACTTTATAGGTACTGAAAAAGCTATGTATTACAATAGGCTTATATATATATATATATAAAAAAAAACTAAAAAAAGAAAACCAATTGCCAAAAATACACAGTACTACAATATTAAAATGAAGTCTAATTATTTAATTTTTTTAATAATCCCCATCAAATAATATATTATAAGTACTGGTTAAATTACGATTTTGTACTAGGTATTTATCTGCCAAAATGTACGGCAATGTTGCCGTTGTTACTCATTTAGTCATTTACAGCTAGCTTACAATTCCGCATGCATTTTCATTACTTATATTATACAGATTATTATAAATTCAATCGATTACGGCACCACGGTAGTATATACACAATTATTTAAGAGACTTCAAGCCGTTATCAACGATATAATACACTAGTTTTAAAACTATAGTAAACAATATAAAAAATACTATTTTAAAGTAGAATGGGATGGAAAAATAAGAACGCGTAGTTAATGAGCGAGATTATATTCAATATCTGAACTTGAAAAAGCTTTTGATAATATTAATTTTACCTGAATGTTAATGTCGAATATGTTACTCATGTTAAACTTGATGGTGATATATTAAATTGATATTAGATTATTCATTTGATGAGTATTTATCTATGTGTTTAGATTTTGATTGCAAACAAGATTTAGATTGTATATTTAATGTTTGGCCAAAAAAAAATTAGAAGCAGATAAATTATTAATTTATAATATAACTGGAACATTTAGTACAACTTTTAATGATAAAAAGTATTTAAAAAATATAGAAGGCAAAATATATTATAATGAGCTTAAAATAAATATTCCTAAATATAGCTATATAATTGAACAATTAAAAACAGATTAACTAACAAATAAATGTTTAAATGTTTAGATTATGATTATATAGAATTTGAATCAACGAATTATTTTAAACTTAATGAAAATGTATATAATTATTAAGGAATTAATGCAAATATTATTACTTCATATTGCAAGATATGTGACTCAACGATTGATGTACAAATATGTTATTAGAAATACATTATAATATAGTCAACAAATCTTTATCTTCTTACAATAATATTAATCATATCCAAAAAGAGCTTTTATTTGTTTTGAACTATAACTATAATAATTAATTTATAAAAAATAGTTTAATAATCAAATATTAAAAATAATAGATGAAATATTATATGTATCAATAATGGAAATACAATTAAAATAATTATTGAATGATATAGAAGAAAGTATCTGTTTGAAGAATTTATTGTTCATCTACATCTCAAATCTTTAAATCTTAACCTTCCATTTAATTATTAATTTTTTTAAAACTAAATGGAAAAATAATGCATGTTCATCGTCAAAGTTATAATTATTATTTAAACATTAGTTTTATTTTACTTGGTTTGAAGTTATTTTCAAGTACACTTGGTACATAAAAATATTTTTACTCACCAATAATACAATTTTTTTTACTTATTATTGGTATTATAGAACTTTTTGAAAAATCAATTAAACAAAAACGGACATACTTCGCACGATAGGTGGACCACTGTTATATGTGAGAAGTTTGGGAGGGTCTATATTAAGAAAACTAGATGGTTTTATACGATTTTCTAGTACTCCATAACTAAAACTATAATTGACTTGAATTTAAAAATATTGAAAATTATAATCATGTAACAAAGTAACAACATTCGCCAATATTCCATGTTAAGTAAAAATATTTAGTAATGTTTTAAACGTAAACGTTGATAAAACTCAGATTTGAATGCCGTTGGAAACGCTACGTTCATTTTCATATACGGAATCGTATTAGGTACCAAAAAGGACAAACCTATGGAATCATATATTTACAAAATATATAAATATTATAAATAAATACTGAATACATACATACATACATTTATTGTCTATACATGTTTTCAATATTATTTTACGGTGTAGTTATAAATGGAAAGAAGCTAAATAAATATTAAAATTTCAAGCACTGCAGTTACTAATTCCAGAACATTAGACACTTTGGTATTATTTATTGTCAACATTGTTATTACCTAGATGATTAGAGGATTATCGAAGAAAACGTACCTATTAAAATATGGAGGATTTAAAAAATAAGAGGAATTAGGATGTATTCGTGCTTTTATTGTAGGTTTAAGTTCAAATAAAACTAAAAATACAAACAACAAACTTATGTACTTAAAATACATAGTGATATTTTTTACTAATTTTAATAATAGAATATTAAGTATAAATATTAAAAATTCATATAAATATTATTATTATTCATTTTAGTGATAATATAGCCAGCAGAAATAATCATAATAGTTATTCCGTTATTCGTAATTATAATAATGCATTTCTTCGTTCAAAGGAAAATCGATAAAAATAAAAGGAAACATTGATGCACTTATACTAACCAAACAATGCAGGTTTCATAGCTACCACTAGGAATTAAAAATAATAATAATAGATGTATGTTTTATAACGCATTTACTCTGGTAATATAATATTTTGATAATAATTCATTGAGACGTGTCAGATATACATATATTATATATTTATATATTTAGTAGACCAATTCTGTTTTTAACCTTAGTCCAAAATAATATATTACTATGTCTCGAAAAAAATGTTCTATTTCCCCCATTATTTTAATTTTACTAAATAAGATATATGCGAGCATACATAGATATCCGAATATATGCGAAGACTTTCACTATGGAAGCCTAAAAATGGTAATAGACATATGTATAATTGTTATTATGCCAAAACCCATGGTATAAACCCGGCGTGTGTTGTATATATGTGAAAGCCATCCGATCGCGTAAAGAACGCCCGATGATTACATGTTACGTCTTTCAGAAGGCTAGAAATAAAAATCATCGTGCCAAATTCACGCCAAGTAACCTAATAAACGAAGAACAAACCGATTGTCACATATTTTTTTTTCTTCTCTCGGTATCTCCAAAAATAGTCGAGATGATTCAATATAGTGCTACTCAAAATATTTGCGTCGGAATTTAATTTAAACAAACCAGAATTTTTTTTCTTGGCATCCCAAAACACCATTGTATTAGTTTCTTCAAATTAGTTTATGCAAAAGCCAATGTTTTATAATTAAGTAATATATGTTTGGGTAAATATACCGAAGGAAAATATAATAAAATGTCTTATATACGTACAAAATATATTGAAATTAATTTGATTTAATGGTTCTATTGTAAGGATTATGTGCACTTTCTACAATCGGTTGGGTTTTGTAACTGACCTAATTCAATAGTGCGGTTGATGTAGGTTAAGGTCGAAACAAGCTATGGATATTTTGTATCGAAAAACGAGTTAATATTGCTAATATTTTTCGTAAGTTGTATACTTCATATAACATATTATTTTTAGTGCCTATTTATTATTGTATACAATTATTTTTGTTTAATAATTTACAATATATGGAAACAACAAATCTTGCTAGGATGTTTTTAAAAACTTTTTTTTTTGAATAGTTGCAGACGTTGTTTCGTATATAATTCAAAGGTAAACGTAGAAGTTGTGTTTAATTTACACAGGGTATAAAGGGTGTGTTTGCCAGATTACTTAAATAATTAAAATTACTTATTATCAATAAAATATGATTGTCTCACCGGTATTCTCATAAAATCAAATATTTTAAGTTTTAAAATAAGAGATAATATAAAAGAACGGGTAATAGGGAATAAGTACGTTTAAACAATCCATTTTTATTGCATATTTTTGAAAATTATAATAAGCCACATCGATTGTGGCATTAAAAAACCAAATAAATAGAGTTTAATTTTTTCATAAAACCTATGAAAAATATGAATAAGTCATCAAACATTGTACAAATTGGAATAATTCAACTAATATAAAACATACTTATTCCCTTTCAACAGCATACCGTTAATTTATATAATATGAGTAATCATCACGTCTTATATATTTCATTAGTTAGTAATTTATGAGTTTATGTATTTTTTCACCAAAAATGCCATATGAAAAAAAACTATTTCTTATTTATAAACTTATTTATTGGGTTGTCTAAAATTGTTTAAGAACTAGTAAATCCTGTGTGAAATATAACGTACCTATCTATAATTAAAAATGTGTACATGGTGATTCTTTTAAAATGGTCCATTAACATTATCATGGTAATATCAATATATTAGCTTATTATTACCCTCTAGACTTATCCGGTCTAGATTTTAAACTATTAAAAATTATATTATGCACATAGCTCATTAACGTAAATCTAATATTATAATGTTATGGTACTATGCATATCAACATTTTTAGAAAATATTATTTTTTTCGAATCTGTGTTTAAAAGGAAGGGTCAAAAAACTAAAAGTTAACACTATAGTATGTTTCACGAAATTTGAGACTAGACTGGCGCGACCGATAGTCAAAAATGAGTAAGGCTCCTAAACATGCATGCTTGTTGCATCATCTGCATGAAGAGTACACGCGACGTTCAAACAACACAGAAATTCAAACTTTTGACCCTTGATCGCATTACAATTGAGTATCTTATTTTGAAAAACGCACGTTAATCTAATGTATAATAATAAGTAGGGATACAAATTTTAAAAGAGCTGATACTGGGGACGGGTGCAGCCACTGTTATAGGTGGGGAGTTGGGAAGGTATGATACATAAGGTTATTTTATTTATATCTGTAAGAGCAACGATAAATCATTGATGACGAAAGACGATTCCGAGCACAGTCCGGTAATACACAATTTGAAGTGCCGTATTTTTTTTTCTTTGCGATTTTAATCATTTAAATTTTATTTCAAAAGGCTTATTAAAAAAAAATTCAACAAAAATATGGTCTCTTGTTATTGAGGAGAATAATACACTATGTTATATCATCCCTTCCTACTTCTCTCCTTGAACAGTATCAACCTATTTTTATACTTCTGATGGTTATATAATAAATACAATTATACCTGAAATTATCACCATTTTGTCAAATTTTTGATATGTAATACGCACTGGTGCAATTTAAACAACGAAATGTGAGCATCATGTCCATTTTTTAAGTCACTAAAAATATTTTTAACTGAATTACAACAACTTCGTCTTCTTCTGATTTTTCCGAATCATTATGAAATTAAAAAAAACGACTTGCACCACAAAAAACAAAATGTACAATGAAACAAAAAGGGATTCTCGTCATTTTTCAAATAGTAATCATTTTCTGTATTAATGTAAAATATTGATATCATGAAATTGTACGTATTTTTCTGATTATTATGAAAATTATTTAAAATCTTATGAAAATCAGAAAAAAAAACTGTATCATTAAAAACAAAATTAATAATTCAACAAAAAATGTCTCTTGTCGTTTTTCAATTGAAGCTATATTAGTGATAGAAAACGTAATAGGTACTTATTTAAAATAACGAAATCGTGAAAAAATCGTATTTTTTTTCCCGGTTAATCGTTTTATTTTAAATATCGTTTTGAAAATCAGAAAATGGCCTATGTATTTACAAAGTAGATAACATTTACTTTCAGAAAAAGTGCTACAATCATACATTGGAGCAAGTTTTTTTAGGATAAAAAAGTGGTCTACAGTATAAAAAAAATAAATGAAGTACCATTGTAAAAAATTTAAAAAAGGAAAAAAAGGTCGTCCGATAATTTTGAAAATTTCATCACGTCTAGGTAAGTTCAATAAAAGTATTATTACTAAGTTTAAAGTCTCTACGTGTATTTATAACCGAATTACAGCAAAAAACTCCCAAAAATTAAAATTTCTTAAAAGCTCAAAAGTTTTGCTGATGATACCGTAAGAAAGTTAATCAAATAGGCAACAAAAAAAATATTTTGTGATTTTTCGATTACATTATTTTTATTGGTAAAAAACGTCGTTCGTATTTTTATAAAATAATGAAATCGTGAAATTGTACGTTTTCCTACATTTTTTCTCACTTAAGTACTTTTATTTGAAAAATGGCATCGAAAATTAAAAACGACCTCTATAAAGTATAATTTAGACAAATTGAGCTTTCAGAAAAGTTGCTACATGTAAAATTCGGAGCAAGTATACCAGGAATAAACATGTCCACAGGCTAGAACAAAGAAAAAGAAGAAGAAAAAAATAAAGAGCATTGTAAAACCAATAGCTCCCTCATTACTCTCCGAATCAAAATTCAAAATAGTGCTAAAAATATGAGCATATTTCGCGCAGTGAGTGGGCTACTGTTATAAGTGAGAAATAGGGAAATTTAAAAATTTTACCACACCTAGAAAAGTAAAATATAAGTTTTTGTCCAAATTTCAAATCTATGGATATTTTTAACTGAATCACAACAAAAAACAAAATTTCAAATAATTTCCATATTCAATTTAATCGTTTTCCTACGTTTTCCGGTTTTCCAAATTATCATGAAAACCGCTTAGAAAAACAAAATAAACATTATATTTCAATTCAAAATTTTGTTTTTCAAAATGGTAAAAACAATAAAATACTTAATAGATAACATTAATATGACAATATCTAAATCTAATAAACTAATCTTGTATTATTATTATATTATATGACCACGATAATTTTTTTATCTTGACTTGTATTCATATATTTTTTCAATTTTTTTGTTTCATAAAATACCTAACCTAACTTACTAATTCCAAATTAAAAAAAGCCATAATTTAATTATTAGAGTATTTCTAAAATACAAATTCAAAAAGTTTTTTTTTTTATGCCCTTTTTAATTATTCAATAAATAAAAGCAATGTCCAAAAATGTCTGATAATCAAATTGAGTTGATTTTTGTTTTTCACATTTAATTTATGTATGGGTACTATATTTTCACTAAGACGATTTTAGTTTATTAAATCATAATAGGTTTGACCAAACATTCGTTCGGAAATCTATTGAAGCATCATAAAAATTAATGTTAACTACTAATTATTGCTGTTAAGGACGTTTTATTTGGTTAACTATGTTTATTTTTTACAACAAAGGAAACAGGAGAGTAAGTAGACACGTGCAAATAAATGGCACAGGACGCTCACAATTAGCGTCTTATTTTCATATTTTATCGGTTGAATAGTCAATAACGAAATATAACACAGAAACAAATAAAGTGTAGTAAGCATAATAAATATATTTAGGTACTTAAATATGACTAAAATTTGTATAAACTAAAAAATTATGTTAAATATTTTTTAAATACCTACCGAGTAGTTTTATATAATTTTTTATTCTAAAGATATCTTGTATCCATTAAACCGCGTTTATAAAATATACTAATCATCTATATTACCCATATTCAATATTCGCAAATATTTACCTTTTTCGCGTTCTATAATAAATAATAAATGATTATTATCACCTATTCGTTTTAATGAAAACCAAAATAATGCAAGAACTAAAACATCCTGAATAGGTATATTGATATAATTTATTAGTCTATAGATAATAATAATAATTTATAAAATGTAAAAATATATCAAACATTTTATCTCTTTCACTAGAAAAATAATAAAAGTTACACTTTACAGTTAGATATAGTAATGTAACGTTTTTAATGAAACGATTAAAATTGTGAGAAAAACCCTTACATCTTTCTTAACGAGGTGTAGACCATATTTTTTTAAACTCATACATTATTCGTATCTATACAGTTTATCATAATTCTTATTTAGATCGCAGTTAAATTTTGAATTCGTGACGGTAGTTGGATAATATAATTATATAATAATTGTTATAATCATTTAAATAACACGTTAACTAATTTATATAATATAAACATAAATAATTGTCATTGTAAAATATATGATTCGGTGAAGTAAATAGCCAAAATGCTCAAAAAGTGCTCTCAAAATTTGAATTATACACATACCTACTTGTTAAGATTA